CTCTGTCATCTGGAGATCAATTGTAACAGTGGGAGATCTCCAGGTCCCACCTGGAGATTGGCAACCCTAGGGGGAAGTCAGCTGCACAGCAGGGGGTTGAAGAGAATGGTTTGATGGCTGCTGGGCCAAGATTGGGAACAATAGTTTCCCAGGAGCCCCATCGTAAATGCACCAAACAATTCCTCAAGATTTTCCAAAACACTACTCTGTTTTGGGCTCCTGGGGAACTTTGAAGTAGCACCAAAGCTTTAAGATCTCTCCAGCTGTCACCTGGAGACTGGCAACAGCTTGTCTGGAGTGTGGGCAGTATGGCATTGTATCTGTCTGAGGTCCCCCTCTTCCTCCTCCTCCTCAGATCCCACCCTCAGCAGGCTTCATCCCTAAAATATCCTGGAAGTTTCCAACCTGGAGTTGTCAACCCTATGTCCTGGAGTTCCAACCTGGAGTTGGCAACCATCAGCCAACCTTTATCTGCTTCTCTGTCTTTACAAAAAACCCCCCCCACACACACACAGCCTCTGCTTAGGGAGCAGCTGACATCATTCTCCTCTCCCAACTGAAAATTGGGGGGGGTGAGTTTGAGGTGTGGAATGGAGTGTAGTCCAATCAGCTTCCATATGTACATGACCTTGGAACACTGGCCGGGACTGCACAAAGCAGCCAATGAACCCAGCCAGTGTCTTCCGAGTGGCAGTTTTTTCAGCCTAACACTAAAGGGGCCAATTTTAGAACTTTGGCACCCACTATTCTTTTATTATAAGGGAGAGATTTCCTTGTAAGCCGCCTTGGGTCCCTCCCCTTTGCAGGAAAGGTGGATTATAGATGTCCAAACAAATAAATGTTCCATATGCCTTAAGTGTTGAATAGAAAATTATGATTTCTTCTAACTTTTGATTCAAGGTAAGATCCTTGAGTTGTTGCCGGAAGATTCACTGAATCCAATGACCAGACTTGTTCTGGTGAATGCCATCTACTTTAAAGGCACCTGGGTAGAGCAGTTTAAAGAAGAGGATACAGAAGAGAAGCCTTTCAGACTCAATAAGGTAATCGTAGTGTACAGTTCTACCTTACCTTGTATCAACCATTTGTACAAGAAGGATTTTGAGGTGGTGATGTATTTTAGCAACCCTAAACCACATGAGCCCCAATCGTGCTCTAACCACACTAGAGAAAGGCATTTCTGGGGTGACTAATTTTCCATCACATCAAGAGCAACACCGTGAAGACTGATGGCATCCTTGTATGGATGTACATTCCCTCTGATGATCTTGTGTCAGTAGTTCCTGCTTGAGAAAGTGACATGTGAACGGAAGCCTCCTTTTCTACGCAGATCTCCTTGGCTGGATTGAGGCCACAAGTTTGCTGTTTTTTGCTGTTCTCCAAAATAAGTATCCCTCCCGCCATTTTCAATCTGTTTATGTTTTTAATCAACCAGACCAATATTTTGGTGAGTTAAAAATACTGTGCTGCCCTAGATTTCTGGTATATAACATTATCAGGGCATGCAAGAGGATAAGTGAAAAGGTTAAATCAAAATTGCTTGAACGATTACCTTTCATGACTCATCTCCTGTTCGATAACAAAAAACAGCTTCAAATATACTATAAATTATTCATATATGCTCTAAATCAGTCTTGCTTAACCTTTAAACCCACTAGGGTCCACCAAGTATATAACATTATCATCAACTGCCCTCCCAGGCTGCAAGTAAGAAATTGTCAGGACCCACAGTCAGACAACAGAGCACACGCTTCTTCAAAGGTTATACTTTATTACTAGCACTATGGTAGCATAGACACAGTCACTGTTAGGAATAACTACACCACAGAAAGCTGAGAGAGATATAGGGTATTCGAATGTACCCCCCACCACCACCTATGGGCCAATCGGCCTGACTCCTGCGGGTGGGAAAGAGGACCAAGGCAGTTAGAGCCGAGGCTGGGAAACGAAACTAGTCTCATGGTTAATTGATGGGAAGACACTACACAGGCCGGCTACAATGTCAGTGATAATGAGGGGGAGAAGCGAAAAGCGGCAGCAACTGGCACACAGGTCATGAAAGCGAACCCGGGCCCATAAACTATATGGCAGCATAGCTGACAGAAATCAGGGCTCAAAAGCAGCACTCCAGACTTTATGTGATGCGTGTACATGATAGTCAGAGATTAAGTTTAGTTTCATTTGAGTCCAGTAGCACCCTGTGAAAAAATGTAAGCATTTGTTCAACAAAATCTGGACACACGACTAAAACAGATAACGCCGAGGATCAGCATCCTATCTGAATTGTGTATATGCTTAAGACTTGTTGTCTAACTTTTATGAAAATGAGAGCTTTGGCATCTCTATAATATCTCCTGAAGAAGATTCATTTTTTGAAACGTTGGTAAAATAATCCGGAGACGACGTTGTACCTTGGTTTATAAATTCTATTAAGTTGTGTATCATATTGTAATGCTTCAGAGCACAATACATGTACAGCATTCCTTATAAGTCTTATGACTGTTGATTGCGGGTCAGACTATCATGACTGTTGGCTTTATATTTGTATATTTGTTTATCAGCATTTGTTCAACGACACCCTTTGTCTTCCGGCAGTCACCCCAACCTTTGATATTATGGTTGATTCCTGTGTGCCACTTTTTAAAAGCCAGAATCTGGGATTTTATCCTCAGGCTGGAGCGAGAAGTATAAAAGCACTTCACTTTGGTTGCTGACCAAAGGCCGCTGCAAGTGGGAAGGCAGAACTGGTTAAAATTCCAGATGTCCCCATTTGTAACCGCAAATTATGACTCCTCCCACAAGATTTGGAGATGGCCTGCTGTCAGGTCCCACCAAGAATCAATCGAGTCTCTTTCCAAGAAAGGGGTTACTTTATTGAAGCCATGAGTCACTGAACAAGGTCTCTGTTTAGAATAACAAGAGTCTACAGGGTTGAGTAGTATAAAGGAAATTCATAACAGATATAGCCAATGGTTATAATTCCCGCTCTCTTACAGGGAACAGTGTTACGCGCCAATTCTCTGGGAACTTAACGGCACGTCGTTATCACTACTAGCATTTCACACAGTTCCTGCTAATTAAAACAAAGCGCTGATCTCTCCTCTTCACCACCTGTGACCTTGGAGCAACAAGCGTTTCACTAACAAGCGAGATCATCCTTGCGTCTAGGCATGCGCATGAATCTCTAAGCAGACAGCCAACTAAAACAAACAAGAGAAACGAATTCGGAGGGGACACTGGCTGGAGGGGGGAGAAAAGTGTCAGAACATACACAGAGTGTAGCATACATTATAGCATATACAGGAAGCAATCAGAACCATTGGCAGCTTGCTGACACCTGCTAGGAACCTTGAAGATCACTGGGCACCATCTTGCCTTAGGCTGGAGGAACTTTCTCCATCTTCAGTGGTTCTGCCCTGAGAGGAAGAGTTAATGGCCATTGGAAGCTACAAAGCCTAACTTGTTTTACATATCTTGGGCAATATTGTTCCTGTCTGTGTGCACTCATAATTGTTCAGCCAGTGGCACACATACAATCCCTCCCCCATTTTTTCCATTCCTGCATTCAGAAGGAAAAGAAGACCGTGAAGATAATGTACATGAAAAAGAAGCTTCCTTTTAGGTACATCCCTGAATGCAAATGCCGTGTCCTGGAATTGCCTTACAAGGGGAAGGAACTTAGTATGGTTATCCTGTTGCCTGACGACATTGAAGATAACTCCACTGGCCTGGAACAGGTGAGCCCTTTCCCCCCTTAATATAATATATTCTACCTAAATACGGATATATCACAGATATGGGGGGAATGCTCCCTCTAAGCTGTGGAGTCTTGTGAGCAGAAATTCTTCTTTGTGAGCGACTGGCATGAAAGTTGTGAGCGAGCGATTGGGCTGCTGCATAAATCAGTTTGCTCTGGAGCCACCCTTCCTGAGGAAGCATGTGTGAGCCAGAGCTAAAAAACTGTGAGCTAGCTCACACTAACTCAGCTTAGAGGCAACATTTGATTTATACCCCACCCTTCGCTACCCAAAGGAGTCTCAGAGCGGCTTACAATCTACTTTCCCTTCCTCCCCCTCAAAATGGACACCCTATGAGGTAGGTGGGGCTGAGAGAGCTCTTTCGAGAACTGCTTGTGAGAGAACAGCTCTGAAAGGACTTGTGTCTGACCGAAGGTCACACCAGCAGCTGCATGTGGAGGAGTGGGGAAAAGCCCGATTCTCCCAAATTTGAGCTTAGAGGGAACAGTGTGTGTGGGGGGGGATGCTAGGGGGCAAGCCCTTAGGGTATTTTTAAAAAACTGAGAAATGTTGCGGGCAGGAACACGGGTACTCTTCAATGGGTCGGAACATTGCTTCATCTGGCACTACGGTTGTACTCTGAAGGCCAGGGGCTTGCGAATGACTCAGGGCGATTCTGCATTGGCTTTTCCCGCTGTTGTTTTACCAAACCTACGTTGGAACAGAAATTCCCCTCTGCCTTGCATGCTGCTTTCACGTCCTTTCATCATCGGGGTTTTTATGGTACCCTCCACACTGCTTTCACTTTCTTTGATCATTGGCAGGGCTCTTTTTGTAGCAGGAACTCCTTTGCATATTAGGCGACACCCCCCCTAATGTAGCCAATCCCCCAAGAGCTTACAGTAGCCCCTGTAAGAAGAGCTCTGTCAGCTCTTGGAGGATTGGCTACATTAGGGGTGTGTCACTCAGGGCTCTTTTTGTAGCAGGAACTCCTTTGCATATTAGGCGACACACCCCCTAATGTAGCCAATCCCCCAAGAGCTTAGAGTAGCCCCTGTAAGAAGAGCTCTGTGAGCTCTTGGAGGATTGGCTACATTAGGGGGGGGTGTTGCCTAATATGCAAAGGAGTTCCTGCTACAAAAAGAGCCCTGAATGGTTTTGTGGTACCTTCTGCATAGATTTATGGCCGTTCAGGGGTGACGTTGCAGTCAGTACACCGTTTCCCTGTGGTCTCTGAATGTGGTGTTGAGCCGCACCTTTTCCTCAGTGTTGAGAAAATGTGGAGCGGGTGCCAGAGGCAGAATCGCCCTCAGACAGAGGAGAGGACTCTCCGAATTCTGCCACTGAAGCCGCTTTTCACTGGAGGCTGAGGCTGAGCTATCACGCCTGAACGAGGATGCTCTGCCACTGAGCAGTAGCCTCTCTGATAGTGATCCCTTCACACTGGACCACAGAATGAGCCCCGTCTCGTCTCCATAATGATTTCACAGGCCCATCAGTGCTTTTATATTGCTAGGTAAAGTAAAGGTAAAGGTTTCCCTTGCTCGAAAGCCAGTCGAATCCGACTCCAGGGTTGCGGTGCTAATCTCCGTTTCAAAGCCGAAGAGCCAGCGCTGTCCGAAGATGTTTCCGTGGTCATGTGGCCTGCATGACTAAACACCCAAGGCGCACGGAACGCTGTTACCTTCCCACCGAAGTAGTCCCTATTTATCTACTTGCAATTTCTTGCTTTCAAACTGCTAGGTTGGCCGGAGCTGGGACCAGAGACGGGAGCTCACTCCGCCATGCGGCACACTCGGGTCTCGAACTGCTGAACTACCGACCTCCCACAGCCTGCAGTTCAGCGTCTTAACCACTTGAGCCACTGCAGCTAATTAATTAATATTAATATTAATATTGCTAATTAAATGTAAATGTTTGTCTCATGGCAATACTTCTGAATGATCTCTCTCTCCATAATTGTAGCTGGAGAAGGAGCTCACCTTTGCAAAGCTCCAAGAGTGGACGCAGGCAAGAGAGATGTCTTCCTCCCGTAAAGTTCACGTGCGTCTCCCTAAATTTAAGCTGGAAGAGACCTATGATCTTAAGTCGAGTCTATCAGCCTTGGGGCTACAGGATGTCTTCGACAGCCACAAGGCCGACCTGTCTGGGATGTCGGGATCCCGGGACCTCCATGTGTCCAAAATTGTCCACAAGTCGTTTATAGAAGTGAACGAAGAAGGCACAGAAGCTGCAGCAGCGACCGCTGGGATGATAATGTTGATGTGCATGCCTGTCGAAGAAGAGTTCAATGCGGACCACCCTTTTCTGTTCATCATCCGCCATAACCCGACGCAAAGTATGCTTTTCTTCGGAAGAGTTGCCTCTCCGTAAAAAGTAAAACAAATGGTGGAGCCGTATAGTAGAGTTCCCCAAACTAGTTATGCTTAGCTTGATTGAGGGAGAAGGGGAAGATCTTTTACTCGCTGTACAATCCTATGTGAAGGTACCCCGGTCTTAAGTCCACTGCTCTCACTGGCTGAGGTGGAAGTAAGTCTGCCTGGGATTGCATAGCAAAACACTGGATTTCGCTTCAGCTTGGATCCTCTTGTGCTTTCTCTTGCTGATTCTGTTAGGGCATTTTAACACTGGGTCACAGTCCTGTAGCCAGGGTTTTGTGGTTTGTGGGGCAAATTTTTTTTCTGGTGGGGCTGCCATTTTTTTTCCCAAATAAAAAATAAAATAGTGTCTGTAAATAACTACTTCCCTGTGCAGGGATCCCTCGAAGCTGTGGAGTCCTGTGAGCGAAAATTCTACTTTGTGAGCTCTTGGCATTAAAGTTGTGAGCGAGCGATTTGGCTGCTGCGTGAATTAGTTTTCTCTGGAGCCCTCTTTCCTGAGCTAAGACAAAAATCTGTGAGCCGGAGGCTAAAAAACTGTGAGCTAGCTCACACTAACTCAGCTTAGAGGGAACACTGTCCCTGTGTTCTCCCAGCCTCTCTTCCCCTCCCCCATTCATATAATTCTCTTCCTCCCCCCCCCGCAGACTTGAGGCTGCCATCGCAGTGCATCACTTTCTTTCTGTGGGTCCCCAGCCCTCTACCTCTATGTGCCCGGAGACTGTGTGCCCCTCTCATCCGCCTCCTCCTTTGCAGCGCCAGCCATCATACTTGGCCTCATACGACTTGATCTATGGCAGGAAACTAAGATTCCCCTTATACGTAAGGAGCTTATTTCTATATTATTGATGGCAGCCAAAACAGTGATAACTAGTAATTGGAAGAGTTCTACTCCTTTAACACTGCACCAATGGTACGTAAAGGTCTGGGAGTTTTACACTATGGAAAAGATAATGACATCTGTATCTCCAAACAATAGCTTTGCAGGGCATTCTTTGTTTTCTTCAAAATGGGTGAGCTTTATAGAAGCAACAATCGATAAATCTATAAATCTATTATCCCATTTTCCTCTATACCACAACGCTATAAAGAAATAATTGCAAATTTTTAGGTCACCTGATAGTTCCAATTCAGAACATTATAGTTTAGTTTAGTTTGCAGTAAACGTTAATTTAGTAGGATAATTGTTGTTGTTATGTTTAACTTGATTTTTTAGTTTATGTATCATTCCAGGCATGTATTGCAAATAGTAAACTAATTATTGTAACTGTGTTTCAAATTTGCATCAAGTTATATATACATTTTATTATAATGTTGAAAAATTATAAATAAAATATTAAAAAAAGAAAAGAAACTTGGCCCGGGATCCGAGCATGTGAGGAGGAGGAGGAGAAGTTGGCCGGTCCTGGCACAGGGGGCCCGGGTGTTGCCGCCGCAGAGAGCCTTGAGTTGGACAAGAGGCCTGGGCTGCCTGGCTGGGCCGGGGCTGCTGCCTCCATGTTCCAGCAGCCGTTGCTCAGCTTCAGCCCACAGCAAATGGCCGGTGTGCGTGAGACGCTGGAGGAGAACGGTGACGTGGAGCACCTGGCGCTGGCAGCATGCAGCCAGAGAGTACTCACCTTTTGGAAATGTTTTAAAAATGAAGACAATCTTGTGGGGCTACCCCTTTAAGGGAGGGGGCACAGCCCCCAGTAGCCCCACTGTAGCTATGGGGCAGTGGTGTCGCGCAGCCTTTGCGGTGGATGTTTCCTGTAAAATGGAGTCAGGCATTAATTGCTTTAAATGGAGACAGCCTCTGGAAAGGGTGTTGCCACAAAGCTGGACATGAAAAAATGGGGGGCAGTTGTTCAATGGTAGTCTTTCCATAGAGCTGGCTGTTGTTATACTGTGGTGCAGTTTCACCTGCTTCACCTGGTGGTGTTAATATGTGTGTGGGGGGGTAGCGTCTATCATGCAGGGCTCTTTTTGTAGAAAAAGCCCAGCAGGAACTCCTTAGCATAATAGGCCACACCCAACAGCAGGAACTCATTAGCACATTGGGCCACACCTCTGACAGTGCAATTCATTAGCATATTAGGACACACCCCCATGTTACCAGAAGTGTGCTCATCCAGCCACACCTACCTTTTGCTTCTTATTCTGTTTACCTTGTTTGTTGTCCAAACCCAGAGCTTTTTTTGTAGCAGGAGCTCCTTTGCATGTTAGGCCACACACCCCTAATGTAGCCAATCCTAATGAGTTTCTGCTGTTGGGTGTGGCCTGTTATGCTAATGAGTTCCTGCTGGGTGTGGCCAACTTGGGAGCCAGCCGGAACTCCGTTCCTGTGCGTTCCTGCCCAAAAATAGCCCTGCGCCTATGTGTTGTAGAAGGGAGTTCTTCATGGTATCTGTGCAGGGATTTTCCTGACTTTTGCAGAGCATGGTTTCCTTCTGTGATCTGCCTGTTGGTTTCCGTGTGTGTTAAGATCAGGGCTGCCGGTCTGCCTTCTAGCGCTGGTGTACCGTGGAGGTGCAGGAGCACAAGGCATCTTGTAGCCCATGGGTCCACATCTGGCTTGACATGTTGCTTAAATACAAGGTTTCCCCTGGCCTAGAGCACAGGTCTAAACTCCAGTATAATGGCATTGTTCCATAGCTACAGTTCTGTCCATTGCCCAGTTTCACAGTTCAGCTATGCAGTCAAGTTTAAGAGTCTTTAAAAACACTTTATAAAGCGTCGGCTTGGCAACACGGGCTGAAGAACTTTTGAGGGAAGACTCCTTAGGGTCAGGTTTGGAAATGACTGAAAATGTTGTGGTCTAGTCCAAGAAGGGCAGGGTCTGGGGAGGGGAGGGGAGGGGAGAGGTCTCAGCCAAACACAGCGCCATTCGGTCCACTCTCCAAAGCAGTCCTTTTCTCTGGGGGGACAAATCTGTCGTCCGGAGTTTATCTGTGATTCTGAGCGATCTCCATGCCCCACCGGGAGGTTGGCAACCATAGGCCCGGCAGTAAGCTCTGGGTGACTCGGTAGCACCTGACTTTCATGACTGAACTAAGCCTGGCTGCTTGCTACAGTTCCAACGCAAGGCACCCTATGAAAGCCAGTGTAGTGTAACAGTTAGAGCTCAGGGCGGCTGGCATAAAATGCATATAAATACATTTAAAACCAATCACAAACAACAGAATCATAGAATAACATAACCTGTCATTTAAAAAATCCTAAAATGCTGGAACAATATCTAATAAAGTGCGAGAATGGCGATACAATCTTGACGGTATTCTCATCAGCTCACTTTGTTCCAACTTATTCGTGCAGCGGACGCAGGCTGTAGGTGGTAAGGCCATGGCACAGAGACGCTCCTCGATGTTTAATGTGGCTCAGTCAAAAGCAGGGCTATTTTTGGGCAGGAACGCACAGGAACGGAGTTCCGGCTGGCTCCCAAGTTGGCCAAGCCCAGCAGGAACTCATTAGGATAATAGGCCACACCCAACAGCAGAAACTCATTAGGATTGGCTACATTAGGAGTGTGTGGCCTAACATGCAAAGGAGTTCCTGCTACAATAAAGCCCTGGGTTTTGACAACAAACAAGGTAAACAATAAGAAGGGAAAGGTGGGTGTGGCTGGATAACCGCACTTCTGGTAACATGGGGGTGCGGCCTAACGTGCTAATGAGCTGTGCTGTCAGGGGTGTGGCCCAATATGCTAATGAGTTTCTGCTGTTGGGTGTGGCCTATTACGCTAATGAGTTCCTGCTGGTCTTTTTCTACCAAAAGAGCCCTGGTCAAAAGCCTGGTGGAAGAGCTCTGTCTTGCAGGCCCTGCGGAACTGTACAAGTTCCCGCAGGGCCCTGATCTCTTCTGGGAGCTCATTCCACCAGTACGGAACCGCCAGCGAGAAGGCCCTGGCCCTAGTTATAGCCAACCCAGGGTCCTTGGGGCCCGGGAGGGCCAATTAGTTTTGGGAACCTGAGCGCAGTGCTCTCTGGGGAACATGTGGGGAAAGGACATCCCTTAGGTATGCCAGACCTTGACCATAAAGGACTTTAAAGAGCATCGGCACCTTGAAACGAATCTGGTATCCTATTGGCAGCTCAGAGTGGGGTCTGGGAGACCCAGGTTTGAATACCCATTTTGCTATGGAAGCTCATTGGGTTGTTGGGAGGATTAAAAAGAAGGAGGGGAGAGTAATGTCAGCTGTGGGGAAGGTGGGGTGTAATGGAATAAATAATAAATGTCGCTAAAGATGGGAGGCAGGAAAAAAGGTAGGTTGCTGACTTGTTGAGAAGGTGAGAATGAGGCAGGGAAAGGGGAGAGGATATGGGGGTTTCCAGGAGGAAGGACAGAGGAAGTTGTGCAGGGAGGGAGATACAGGGGAAGGTGAGGTTGTAGCCCAAAGGTGCTGCTTTACTCACGGGTAGTCCTAGCAGCAGGGGCACCCCACTATTGGCCTGACCCAAAACTGTCAGGTTAGAACGGATAAGAGGAAGTACTTCTTCACCCAAAGAGTGATTAACACATGGAATTCACTGCCACAGGAAGTGGTGGCGGCTACAAGCATGGACGGCTTCAAAAGGGAATTAGATAGGCATATGGAGCAGAGGTCCATCAGTGGCTATTAGCCACAAGATATAGATAGGGACTCTGGGGCAAGGGATTCTCTGTCATCTTGGTGCTTGGGGGGGGGTCAACAGTGGGAGGGCTTCAAATGTCCTGGCCCCACTGGTGGACCTCCTGATGGCACCTGGTATTTCTGGCCACTGTGTGACACAGAGGGTTGGACTGGATGGGCCTTTGGCCTGATCCAACATTGGCGTCTCTTATGTTCTTATGTTCCCCCAAAAGTCAAGCTCTCAACTTGAACCTCAAAGTCAGCGTGTGAGCACTCTGCAAAAAGGGGATTTCGTGTTCAGGCTTTCATACAAGGCAGCCATCACCTCGTCTCCATGCCCCCCTGCACGTCTGGGCCGGTTGTATCACCCATAACTGACCCCTCTATGCACTATTAATCACCTCTGCTTTCTTAGTTCTGTACTGCTTTCTCTTTTTGAATGTTTAGTGTGCTTGCAATTAGGGAAATACTTTAATAAAAACTATTTAATATACTCTTCAAATCTGGAGTCTTCCTACTGTACCGGACCTTGGCATAAACAGGTGTACAGGTCACTTGTACCTTTCTGGCCTTGCCTGCTGCCTAGCTAATTTCCCCAAACAACAAGGCAGGCCATTGGCAGTAACAAGGTGCCACCCCACAAGACCTTGAGTGTTCCCTACCATGCAAGTGGGCCTGGCCCAGGGGCTGGCACCCCACAATTGGGCCACAGTGTTCCTTGGTAAAGACTGCTGGAGATGCGGAACTTAAGACAGAGGAGCAGATAAAGATAGGTTGGCCGTTGGGTGGGAATGAGATAGGGTTACCAACCCAAT